GATTGAATTATTCCTTTTTCTGGAGTTAACGTAAATGAATTCGATCGAATTGTTTTTCCGTGACTTAACAAATCCTTTTATTGCTAGTAAAATTGATTAATTTTCTATAGTTTGGTTTGTAAGGGTTAGATTTGTTTTTACGAGTTGATCACGGATTGATATCAGTTGGAGAACCATTGAAAATCAGGGAGTACTGGATACCTGTTTCATCCTAATTTGGGAATCAATGATTCTCTAACTGATATCAATTCGTGATCAACTCGTAAAAAAAAGAACTAATTCTTACAAACCAAACTATGGAAAATTAATCTGATGCTCGCTAGTGACTTGCCGCAAGATGGAGTTTCCTGGAGTACTAGTGAGAAGTCGGGACCAATGAGGTCTATCAAGATGTCACGTGTGAGGATGGATGTCCCATCAACGACACTGGTTGGGGTCGCGCTAAATCACGAATTGGTAGAAGTTAGAATTCATGAGGCATTGAATCGGGTCCCAGTGGCTGAATGGTATACGAGCTTGCCTTGTAACCGGAATGTCCTGGGTTCGAATCCCAGTGGGTGTGTACTGCCGATGATTCCCAAACTAGGATGAAACAGCAGTTGTCCAGTACTCCCTGGTTCTCAATGTTTCTCTAACTGATATTAATCCGTGATCAACTCGTAAAAAATTGATTAAATTTATTTAGCCTTTGTGACTAGAAGTCGATCCTGTAAGCTGTCAGCTTATCTTAAAGCACTAAGAAAATGAACAACTTACTGATACACTAATGGCATCCTTTTAACTCTTGAACCACTGGTTTATTGAAGTGTAAAAGGTAATGAATTAGACTATGGCTATTTGTGTAAATCGCATTTTTCTTAGCTATCCTATTAGTCGGTATACAAGTTACACATGAAGAAAGAATCCTTTGAGTTATGTCTAGAACAATGAAGATCCTAATAAATTGTTTTAAAGGAAATCGCTAATTCTGCAGTATATAGTTGTAGAGCTTGCGGTGGTTGAAATGACTTCAGGATGGACTTGGTCATTAACCAGCGTCACTGGAAAGCAATTTGGATTAATTAAAGTAAAAAGTATAGGTTGTTTTGAATCAGTTCTTTATCACAGTAGCGCTGTAACAGCAGGAGGCAAGACACGGAAGTCAAGGAGTATTTTCAAGTGATCAAACTAATATATATATATATATATATATATATAGTATTCTGTTCCTAATTCAGTATTGAACTGTGGGAATATGTGAGGATAGTGATCCGCTGAAATACATTGTCTGTATCATATCACAACAGTACATCAGCTACTAAAATACTTATGTCATATAGTGTAAGAATTTGGTTCAGTAAGTATTCTTTAATTCTCAATGGGTAATTTGGAACTTTTACATTGTTTTAATTGTTCTGATGAGGTTTTTGCAGGCAAATGTTATTTTTTTAGAAATTGGTTATAAAATTTAAACGACATCATGGGAATTAAATGTAGTATCTTAGAGTGCAATTGAAGTTAACTACCAGATGAAAATAAAGTTTTATTGTCTAACACATGAAATAAGAGGGAAATTTTCAAACTTTTGAGACATGAACAGAATAAGCACCATGACACCAGGTAAACATGTTTCAACGTTTCTGTTATTATAGTTCTGGAGGCTGTATTATTTAGTCACGTAGACTACACAGTGCTAATTTCTTCACTAGTGTTTATTCTAACAAACTATGGAGATGAGTGTCAAGGAAAACTGAACTAGGATATTTACTATACTATTTTTTATTGAATCTATCAGTATTCTGTAGTTTCAGTTTTCAATAAAGGCCCCTACTGCACTGTCAGAATCACCCAAAAATTTAATTTACAGTAAACATTCTAATGCTTACATTTATACTAGCTATATTTAGTGCATACTTCAAATAGCTGAGACTGGCTCAGTTTTCTCACTAATTTCCGCAAACACAACCGCAGGAATCGCTTTCGTAAACGCAAATGAATGGAAAACACTTATCTGTTTATTGTGAAAATAATTTTTAATTAATACATCTACGTAGTAGCTTTTTCAGTTCAGTTAATGTATTTTCTGCATCTAAAGTTCTCGGGGTGTTCTTCCGTTAACAAATAACGGAATCTGTCATATCTATATGCTTAAGAAAGCAGCACTTTACCAATAACTTCTGTTAATTTTGTCCTTTCAAGTAACTTTTAGTGTGACAATTGGTAAAATGGCTGAAAGGTGGTGACAAGACTTCAAGTGAACATGGAGGAGACAGAGGTAGCGAAGATTTTAAACAACACCAACAAACAACATTCACGACCACCAGGTGAAGTCTCAAACAGGTGGCTTCTTAAACTTACACGAGACGCATCGTCTCAACTACAACAGGCTTACGTTAGGATATCAAATTGAGGATTAGAAAAGCAAGATAGGCATTCATTAATTTGAAATCATCGTGGAGGTTAAAATTAGCCAACACCCACACATACAATACAATCGGAATTCGCAAGTCGAATGTCGATTCGATGCATCTATATGGTTGAGATACTCGGCGCGTCCACCAAGGATAGCACCTCCAAGAGGCTGCAGACTCCCACCAACAGCAGTCTTCTCTGGGTTGGTACTGGCAATTAGATGGTCGGTCAGCCGGAATGAATTAGTAGCGATGAACTGTGAGAGGCAGGGGACGAGCTAATGGCGTACTGTCCGAGAAATCTGCAGGCGTGAATGGAGATGAGTCGGAGATGCGCTGAGGTGACAGTTGAGTGAGATGGGTCTTCATTCCCTTGGGTTGAACCTGAGTGGGAAACGATGAGTCAGGTTTCCGAGGATGACGTGGAGGAGATCGTGACGTATGGTCAATTGTTTGGTTAATCATAATGAACTGTAGAGGACACAGTAAATCGTAATGTGCGTCTGCAATTTTAAGTTGCACTCGAGATCCAAAGGAATAATAATGTCTGAGAATATTTGTCCTATAGATAACAGGCGATGTAAGCAGAAGCCTATCCTAAGGTGAATTCTTATAGTAACAGACTAGTCTGCATGGGAATAAGAATTAACAGTAAAAATTACATGATAGTGATCGCTCAAAGGAGTTTATCGATAAAGGTGGAAAACGTAGAACGGAAAAATTGAACTGCAGCACATAAGAGGAAATTCTGTCTTTCCACAGCTTGCCTTCAAAGGTGACAATATTACTAGCAGAATAATATGCGGACTGAACACTACATCGGGAACAACATACCCAGCAGCCAAGCCTGTATAGGTACATCAAACGATAAGTTGCTTGAGACTGTCAAAAGTGGACAAACTCCGGCATCATGTTATCTCCGACTGTGCCTACCAATTTACACGTACGCACCAAAGCGCATATACTAGTACAACAGAGAGAAGAATTATTGTCCGCATTTCTGAACATATGCTAAAGAACCTAGGAAGAAAGGGCCCACGTGCACTAAACGATGTGACTGCGTAGCATATATTAAACACTGATCACACTGTGGACAATTTAAAGGCGTTCAAAATAATTAACAGGCAAAAGGAACTTAGCTTTCTACGCTTTGATGAGGCGATCTTCATCGAACGGTTGAAACCCAATCTATATGCACAAATAATCAGAGGTGAATCTTGCACTACCTTAGTGTTTGAAATCGCATAACAAAGCATACAATTTTATGACTCCATTTACTCTCCTATGTCTTTTGTGCTGCTTAAAACTTTTATGTTTCATCTGAATGATAACTCACCTTACTCCCTCTTTTGCTATTTTGCAGAAACATATATCCTGCAGCTAAGTAACCTATTATGCTGTTACACCCTTTCTAGTTAAACTTAGTCTCTATGCGAAATATTTTGAACTCTGTCCTCAAGACCATTGGTCTAATTAACCTATAAATAGTTATTCCTTCTAACTATTAATTATATAACAGCTTACATCATTCCGGACTTGTGTTATTCTTATTTCCTATCAATTACCGTTTGTCATCGCGAGAAAACTGTGTTCAAACCTTCATTGTAATTTATGTATTTATATTGTTCAGGTTGTACTCAGTTGAAAAGAATCCTCGAAATAATAAAAGATGAATTCATATTCTGCTGGTAGGCTTGTATAAGTCTGCTAGTGGGAAGAATTGTATGGAATTTCTGGAAAAGAAACCATTCAATTTTAAGCGTCGCTTTAAGCTATTTTGCATTACTCGAAACACCTTTATTTTTCTGCCTCACACACTGTAATGGGATTCTATCTTTCTACTGTGTACAAAGCATCTAACCAACTGCAGAATTTGACTGAATATCTTGTCAGCTCTTTGATTCATTCATTTGTCAATATTTGTTGCTTATTTTAAATGACTAAAAGAGTAAACTTTATTTAAAATGTTCTAGCAAAAAATGTTTTGAGCCTATGCACATTTTTAAATCATTCGAAAGGTAAATTTTAGTCTCTCAATAATACAATGGAATGTAGCTAATAGATTGTTATATTCATATTACATAACTCTACCTCCTTTCAAGACTTCTCAAACTATTGTATTAAGAGCTCAAACTGGTTCGCCTTTGTTTGTGAATTACAATTCACTAATATACAGTATGTAAATTGTGCTGAAAAATGATGATGAACGCTCCCCCTTTATACATGTCGTCTGCATTTAAACTAATATATAGGCCATTAAGTGGTAGGCGATTCCTAAGCTACCTTAGCGTTACTACATGTAAACTTTACAGCAGTAGAAGTTAGTGAGAATGCTTATTCGGGGTTTTGACTATCACATATTCAGATAAATGAAAACCAGGCATTCATCAAATTAGTCAGTAGGTCGCTCATTATTTCGCACATAAACTTTGATGAAGTGAGGAAACAGTTCAACAAACAACTTTCTTCACATATCTTTAAAAAAATTAAGACACTTCCACATGTACTCTAGAAGTGTTTATAGATAAAAGTGGAGTATTTTTATTTATTTTTATATTTATTTAAAAATTTTTCATCATGTATATATTTAGCATTTTGTTAAAATTTCAGGAGTAGGGTTTTTGCTGAATCCACAGCTTTGGAACAGATTTTATCCAGTCACATTACTAAATTATTCTTCGATATATCATTCAAAGAATGAAGGAGGTTCAATGACAGAATATGATAGCGATAACTGTCTCCGAGAGTTGCTTGATAAAACAGAGTAAGTTTATACTGGTTATGAGGTCCAAAAGCTTGTCTACAGATTCATGCATAATTCAAGTACCTCCATCTTTAAATGAAGTTCTGGACTGGTTGTTTATCAAGTATATGACCCTGATGGAAAATTTCAGTTTACAGCATATTGCTTCTTTACACACAGTAATGGATATAGTCCTTTGTTTGGTGCAGACTCAATTCAATCAGTTAAGTTTGCAATGTGGCCATCACGCTAAGTAGCTCGCCCTCACGGTGCACGGTGAATTGTTGATATTAGGTGGTTGGCGACAATAGGTAGGAGGCCCTACCTGATATATGCCTCTTTCTAGTTGGCAGTCGTCAGCAAGGCGTATCTGCAACCTTGAAGGAACTCATTTCACTTCAAAGATTCGAGCCATCATCACCCAGTGCTGCAGTCAGAAACGTTATCATCGAGCTATTCGGAATCGCCGTTGACCATCTGTAGGACTGTATTAGATATTTCTGACTGAACACTAGTCAGTAACTAGTGTATTAGTATTAGTATCCTGGAGACATTTGCTGTTTGAATAGCTTAATTCGTTAACAATCAATAATAGTTCGAATGCACATCAGGTTACCTGAAAATTTGAATTGATTGATCTGCTGTTCGTTTCACATTCACTTTTGACACAATTCATCAACTGACATCATTAAGGAGATCACACATAGCAGTTTTGCTTTTAGCAGATTTATAATGTAATCCACGTAATACAGTTTGTAATAATAACTCCAAGTTATTCAGGGAGACAGTTGCTTCCAAGTTTTATTATACATAGGAAATACACATCTCAGATAAGGTCATGCTTTTCATTGCTTATTTCCTGAACAAGACAAATTAGTAAATCATCAGTAAGGAGCAAGTAAATATAAATGTAACTCTGTGTTTAACACAATTATCACTGGAATTAATTTTCCTAAGTAGTACTGTTGTATTTCGCACAAAAAGCTGATATTAACATGTTGAAATGATGTCAACGTATTGGATGATGAATTTTTACTGATTATACTTTCAATAAATATATATCTGACGATACAATTTAAATACTGCGTATTAGAGATTGATCTAAATACTTTTTTTCGAAATTACATGATGTCATCTAAGATGAAGTGAGAATAAGTCTAAGTTGATAAATACGACAAGGTAACAAAGCATAAAAGACTTTTGCTCCGTAGTACAACTTTTCTGTCTTTTGAAGATATGAGTTTTTAACACTAATATCAAGTCACTACTTCTCTATGGTTCAGGGACTTGAAATGTGCATCACAAAAGGCATTTTCAACAGACTGATGCAGAATCTCATCAATAGCTGTCTTCACTGGTTTGATATTGAAGGTCAGGTGGAGGGGCACAAAGAATAAGCAACAAAGAACTGTCTAGAGTAGAGGACCAGTCATCAATCTGCGCTCAAATAAATATGCAAAAGGAAATAGAGAGGGAACGCATATGCTCCAAGAAGACCGTTGAGTGATGCAACATGCCAGGCCGTCAAGAGGAACTGGAATGGGATACGACGAATCGGGCATCCGAACATGAGGTGGGTGAGACCATGTGAAGGTGAGACGAAGGCCTGTTGGAATCTGTGGAGCCAGCTGAAAGTAATTGCAGAGCATAGAATGTAAAAGACATGTGCTATAAAAGCTTTAAGTTCCACTAGGAATCCAAGGAAGTAATAATAATATAGTACAAATTTTCTGGCACGTAGGACACATAAATATGCTTAGAAATCAGTTTTTTGACAGTAATTATTTCGTTGACAATATAAGGTATATAATTCTGACTTTTATAATTTATGAAACCTGTTACCTGATAGTGCAGCCAGTGATCTTTTGTAAATCCGTAGAGCTGATATTATTATCGTTCAGTGACAAAATGTACTTGTAAACAAAGTCATATTTCAATAATAAAGCTGCAAAATAAGTGATGAAAATACAAATAATTTTATATCTCCTAAGTTAACTATTATACACAAGTTGAAAACTTTCAACTAACATCTAGTTGGTTTCGCTAAACTTGGAATAGTGGTAAATGATTTCAGCAGCTAATCACTTTTAGCAGCAATATAAGGTATAATAATGTTTAAACACTTCCAACGAAAACAGAAGTTTCGAAGACCATAGAGTTACTAAAAGTAGAGAAAGCAGCAGGATCAGATGAAACTCTCCAGAAGCACTAAAAAAAGGATCCGAAGATCTCGGCGGATATGTTCAAGCAGAAGGTGTGGATGGAAGAAGGCCCAACGTGTCGAATTTTCAAAGAATAGTGACATAAGCCTATACAAGAACTGACCCGGAAACATGTCCCGATCCACTTCAAGAAAAAAATATCTCTAATTAATTCTGCCATCGTTACTGCGCCAGATTAAATAATACCTGTTATTATGATATTTTGTAAAATGAGAATTCATAAAAATTGCAGCCGTAGAACTATGAGGAATGAAATCCCCATGACTATGTCTTCAGTAAAGCTATTTTCATTAATATTACAACTCATTGCTTATAAGCATTTAGAACTGTTCACATAACTTTCACGTTTAGTTACTGCAGTTCTGCCATTTTACATATTATGATTCTATTTATTATAATATTATTCATATATCTGAAAGCGATTTTAAATTCCTAACACTGCACATGGTGAATGTTGTTTCGAGGAGCAAAGATTCAGGTATCAAGGTGTGTCCACTCAATTATACTGGCCTTTTTTATGAAATTGTACACTACTCTTTTCGACTTTATTTCTTTAAGTTTATATTTAAGAGCACTTTTTTTCTGAAGATAAAGTGAAACAGATGAAATTTCCGGCTTCATGATGTAGCAAAGTATAACTTTTACACTTTTAAGTGGTAATTATGAGAGACAAGACAAACTACAAAATTAATCGGTGCCATTTTTAATTATAGGTATTCGTTGACCTGAAAACGATTCAAGATTAGACAAAACGAGGTTATCGAACAAATGAACTGGATTCTGATCCAACTCACATATACCTAATTAGAAAATGTGTGCATTACGTTGTCCGTTTGTCTCAACTTGTCTTCGTTTTATTTTACTGAATTAACGTTGTGTCTGGCGTTTAATCCTACCAAACATATACAATGAGTGGTTACAAATAAGGCTGAAAATTTATTGTTTCTTTTCATTTATTCTACTTATATTAGAAAATTACTAGTTTTCATTGTTTTTATTTTATTTGTTTACTAGTGATGGCTTGTGCGAAATCTCAGATAAATGTTGGAAATTAGTTACAGATGAAAGTGAAACGGATTATGGCCTAACACACCAGCTTTTATACATCATGATTGGTTTACAAGTAAGAAAACATTTTTATTTATGAATATGCATATTCTCAAGATCGGAGATTTTTACAAAGGGTTAGGAGAAATACATATTTTGCGAGTATGAACACGTATTTAAATGGTCTTCATAATTTATTGAGTTTTCACTTGAACAACTATTTGAGACAATAAGTGAGACAATCAATTTATTATCAGAGAAAAATACGGATTCTCTTTTCTTAGCAAACGGTTAGAATAACACTGAGAAGGTGAACTGTTTTAGTTATCAGAATTCATGTGACTCCAACTCTCAGTGCTACAGAATATATTACTCACTGAAACTTCCTGACTAGTACAACTGTTACTTGAAGTTGTAGAATAAAGCTGCAGCGAGCTGGGAGGTAGTGAACTTTACATTTTACTAACAAAGAAAATGTGAAATTGGTACAATCATCGTATTTTCAATCTCCGTTGTTTGCAACAGAATGTGTGTCCTAAATCCGTAACTGTCAAGTCACCTGATGACTCTAGCAGATCCATTAAAGCAGCCCTTGCCTCAACTAGAACGTTTGTACGAGAATGCGTTCATAGAGCAACCAAAAATATGGAATTATTTCGAATGCAAATGTCCAATTTAGATGAAATCTTATCTGCCTTGGTTACATCAGAATTGAAGACTCTCATTAACAACATATTTAAGTTTAAAGAAGAATTTTACCTTCAATCTTCAAAAAGAAGACAAATCAAAAGGTTCAACAGGTCACTTCAATTAAACATTAATCCTAAACACCATCAATTTGAAAATCCGTCTAGTCATAACTTTCTGGATACGAACAAAGTGGTGGTTAATCTCTCTGATAGAAATTTATCAGATTATGAACTATCCCTCCTTGAAAACGGACTTAATTTCAATTTAAACAAAAGGCGTTTATTGGCCTTCGAAGTAGTTCCAGCAATTGAACCGTCGTTAAAGTGTGTGACAGCCGAAGAGGCAAACGTCATAAGACGCAAAATTACAGCGGTACTATTGAACCAGAAGCCAAATGCGCTGAATATAAATAAAAACGAGCAACTGGCATTAAAACGCCTACAGCAGGACAAATCGATTGTAATTACAAGAGCAGACAAAGGCAATATCGCGGTTGTCATGATCTCTGCAGAATACGAAAAGAAGGCCATTGATCATCTTAATGTCGGACCTTATGAAAAATTCAACGTGAAGAAATCAAGGGCGACACTGAATAAGCTGAAGACTGAAACAAGCAAAATGTTACAGTCAATAAAAGAGAAGCTTGGTGTATCACTTTGGTTTACTCTGGCTCTAAAAAGTTGCAACCGCTGTAGATTTTATGGATTACCGAAAATACACAAATCAGAAGTTCCATTACGTCCAGTAGTATATTTTACTAATTCCCCAACATACAAAGTCTCTAAATACATTTATCGAATACTTAGCCCATAGGAAATGAAAATGGAGCATGGAGTGAAGAATTCGTATGAATTTAAGAGAAAAATAAACTTGACTCATATTGAAGAAGATGAAGTAATGGCAAGTTTCAATGTTTATTCATTATTCACGGATGCTCCCGTTAATGATTCTTTAAGTATTATTTATATTTTCCCTTGTTCTGACGACGAACTCAGTGATCATTGTCATTTCAATCCAGACGAAATTATGAAGGCATTAGAATTATGTCTTCGATCCACGTTGTTTACATTTAGAGGGGTTCTTTATCGTCAAACAGGAGGCACTGCTATGGGATCACCAGTATCTCCGCTAGTCGCCAATCTATTTATGCACTCATTAGAAACAAATGCAATTATTAGATGCCCTAGTCCTCCAAAGATGTGGTTAAGATACGTGGATGATACCTTCGTCATAATCAAACGTAGTTTGTTAAATGAACTTTTTCATTTAATAAACAATATGTCAGAAACTATCAAGTTTTCCAAAGAGGTTGAATCCGATGAGAATGAGTTGGCATTCCTGGACTGTTCAATAAAAAGAAAACTAGATGGCAAACTTAAAATAAACATTTTCAGAAAGTAGACAAATTCGGATAGATACCTGGACTACTATTGAGCTCACCCATTTACCACCAAAGTAACTGTGGCCAAGAATCTGCTTAACAGAGCCAAACGTCTAGTTACTGAGGAGGAAGATATTAGCAAGGGACTAAAATTGGTTCAGTCCACTGTTGAATCAAATAATTATCCTAAAGCCTTCATAAAAAGATACTTAAAATGTGAAGATAAGGATGAATCGAAACCTGCTGCTAAGAACTGGGTTAGTACAGTGGTGATTCCTTACCGCAAAGAAACATCCGACGAAATAAAACGAAACCTTAACGACCATAACATACGAGTGTATTTTCGTGCATCAAACACCTTACGCTCATCACTGATGAAGGTTAAGGATAAAATAGAACAAGAAAACCAGCAGAACTGTGTATGCCAGATCAATTGTGGGAATTGTAACGCCGTATATGCAGGAGAAACTTCCAGACAGGTTAATATAAGGGTGAAACAGCATAAACAATGTCTAAAGGTGGTTCCAAAGACCTCTGCAGACTTGAAGAAGCTAGAAAACAACTCAGCGATTGCACTGCATTCGATAGAAACGGGACACAAAATCGACTTTGATAAGACTAAGGTTTTACAGAAAGGTTTTGGTTCATATAAAGATAGACTGACTGCAGAAGCCCTACATATATGGGTGAATCCCAACAGTTTGAAGAGACGTGAAGATGTGATGTTAGCTGATGCACGGCAAATCCTGACTAATAAATAAATTGGATATGTATCAACAATTAGTCATACTTGGTCAAATTTCCCGATTGTCTACGTCTTCTTATGGAGAGACTAACAAATGTTTTATGACTGTTCACCCTCACACAAATACACACACACCATTGTATACTGCATATACACATATATTTTAACAAAAGTAGACTAAATATAATTATACTTAATTTGATCTAAACCACAATGCTCAAACTTTTTACTGATATTAACAATAGACTAATTTTGAAAGTCTGAGGTCAAATTTTGATCACAGTTCATGCAATTTTTTTATAATATATGTTGATGCCTGTTTCATGGCTCACGATTGGACAAAGTTTCAAAAAACAAGAGATGTTCCTTTAACATATAAAACTCTGTTATGTTAATTTTGATTAATTTTCTGAAGAAGTTCGGACCAGATTGCCGAACGAAACGTTGGAATTAATCATTTCAATTTCGCTGAGATTTTACATATATAATTTTTTACAAATGTCTACTTCTCACTCGGCGCTCAATTATTTTGCAACTACCCGGTCGAATCTTGATCACAATTCACATGAAACAAATAACAACTTGACTTTTAGTTTTAAAAATTATGCAAGTCCTTGAAAAACATAACACCTCCAGACTTATGATTTAGGTCGATAGGTGTGCGTTTTTCAAATTGTTAATGACTTTTCAGATAGCTAATGTTAAGCATATATTTGTAAAAAATTATATTTGTAATATCTCAGCGATATTGAAATGAGTAATTCCAACGTTTCGTTCGGCAATACTCAAGATCAAATGGCCGGAGAGGATCAGCAACAAAGATCTCCGGGAGCGAACCAACCAGGAACCGATCGTGAAACAAATAGGAAGGAAGAAATGGAGATGGATTGGACAGACTCTGAGGAAACCAGCAAGTGACATCACTAGACAAGCCCTCGAGTGGAACCCGAAAGGGAAGCGACGAGTTGGTCGTCCAAGGGTGACCTGGAGGAGATCATGTGAAGAGGAATTGAAAGCGTATGGGCAGACTTGGAGCCAGGTGAAAACTACAGCAGAGAACCGAACGCAATGGAGACGCATGGCTGAAGCCCTATGTTCCTCTAGGAATTAAAGGAAATAATAATAATAATTCCAACGTTTCGTTCGGCAATCTGGTCCGAACTTCTTCAGGGAAATTAATCAAAATTAACATAACAGAGGTTTTATATATAAAAGGCACATCTTTTGTTTTTAAAAACTTTGTCCAATCATGATTCATAAACACAAGTATTAACAAGTATAATAAACAAAATTGTATGAGTTGTGATCAAAATTTGACCTCGGACTTACAAATATTGGTCTACCTTTGTTAAACACTTTAAACAGTGTGTATGTGTGTGTGTGGGTAAACAGTTGTAAAACAGTAAAAAGTTTGAACATTGTGGATTAGATCAAATAAGGTATAATTATATTTCAATAGTTTACACACAATGATAAGTTTTGTTATTGGTAATATTTCGAGCAAAATTACTGCCCGTGTTCACATCACTGTTGGAATTGTTTGATTCACACATTTATGATTTGTACTCATATATATAGTTCATTATTTTTGTTCATTCATGTTTGAAAGACCCCATAAAATATCTTGTGCTGACTGTCCAACTAAATATGTGGGGCAAACGTCCAGATCACTCAAAATAAGAGTGAATGAACATAAACGCCTAACTTAAGGTCAACCAACAGGAACACAAGCCTACAAAAATCTTGAAAACATTCGTCGATAGCTGCACATGCATGGGACAAAAACCACAATATCGATTGGGACAATGTGTGTATTCTAAAAACTAACATGAACAAATGGAAAGAAAGACTTATAACAGAATCGATATTCATTAAAGTCACACCGGATACATGTAACAAGGGTGACTCAACACAACTATCAACAACTTGGAATATAATTCTGAATACAAACACATGAGTGAACGCGGAATATAACTCAAACATGAATGAACAAAAATAATGAACTATATATATGAGTACAAATCATAAATGTGTGAATCAAACAATTCCAACAGTGATGTGAACACGGGCAGTAATTTTGCTCGAAATATTACCAATAACAAAACTTATCATTGTGTGTAAACTATTGAAATATAATTATACCTTATTTGATCTAATCCACAATGTTCAAACTTTTTACTGTTTTATATGCAGGAGAAACTTCCAGACAGGTTAATATAAGGGTGAAACAGCATAAACAATGTCTAAAGGTGGTTCCAAAGACCTCTGCAGACTTGAAGAAGCTAGAAAACAACTCAGCGATTGCACTGCATTCGATAGAAACGGGACACAAAATCGACTTTGATAAGACTAAGGTTTTACAGAAAGGTTTTGGTTCATATAAAGATAGACTGACTGCAGAAGCCCTACATATATGGGTGAATCCCAACAGTTTGAAGAGACGTGAAGATGTGATGTTAGCTGATGCACGGCAAATCCTGACTAATAAATAAATTGGATATGTATCAACAATTAGTCATACTTGGTCAAATTTCCCGATTGTCTACGTCTTCTTATGGAGAGACTAACAAATGTTTTATGACTGTTCACCCTCACACACATACACACACACCATTGTATACTGCATATACACATATATTTTAACAAAAGTAGACTAAATATAATTATACTTAATTTGATCTAAACCACAATGCTCAAACTTTTTACTGATATTAACAATAGACTAATTTTGAAAGTCTGAGGTCAAATTTTGATCACAGTTCATGCAATTTTTTTATAATATATGTTGATGCCTGTTTCATGGCTCACGATTGGACAAAGTTTCAAAAAACAAGAGATGTTCCTTTAACATATAAAACTCTGTTATGTTAATTTTGATTAATTTTCTGAAGAAGTTCGGACCAGATTGCCGAACGAAACGTTGGAATTAATCATTTCAATTTCGCTGAGATTTTACATATATAATTTTTTACAAATGTCTACTTCTCACTCGGCGCTCAATTATTTTGCAACTACCCGGTCGAATCTTGATCACAATTCACATGAAACAAATAACAACTTGACTTTTAGTTTTAAAAATTATGCAAGTCCTTGAAAAACATAACACCTCCAGACTTATGATTTAGGTCGATAGGTGTGCGTTTTTCAAATTGTTAATGACTTTTCAGATAGCTAATGTTAAGCATATATTTGTAAAAAATTATATTTGTAATATCTCAGCGATATTGAAATGAGTAATTCCAACGTTTCGTTCGGCAATACTCAAGATCAAATGGCCGGAGAGGATCAGCAACAAAGATCTCCGGGAGCGAACCAACCAGGAACCGATCGTGAAACAAATAGGAAGGAAGAAATGGAGATGGATTGGACAGACTCTGAGGAAACCAGCAAGTGACATCACTAGACAAGCCCTCGAGTGGAACCCGAAAGGGAAGCGACGAGTTGGTCGTCCAAGGGTGACCTGGAGGAGATCATGTGAAGAGGAATTGAAAGCGTATGGGCAGACTTGGAGCCAGGTGAAAACTACAGCAGAGAACCGAACGCAATGGAGACGCATGGCTGAAGCCCTATGTTCCTCTAGGAATTAAAGGAAATAATAATAATAATTCCAACGTTTCGTTCGGCAATCTGGTCCGAACTTCTTCAGGGAAATTAATCAAAATTAACATAACAGAGGTTTTATATATAAAAGGCACATCTTTTGTTTTTAAAAACTTTGTCCAATCATGATTCATAAACACAAGTATTAACAAGTATAATAAACAAAATTGTATGAGTTGTGATCAAAATTTGACCTCGGACTTACAAATATTGGTCTACCTTTGTTAAACACTTTAAACAGTGTGTATGTGTGTGTGTGGGTAAACAGTTGTAAAACAGTAAAAAGTTTGAACATTGTGGATTAGATCAAATAAGGTATAATTATATTTCAATAGTTTACACACAATGATAAGTTTTGTTATTGGTAATATTTCGAGCAAAATTACTGCCCGTGTTCACATCACTGTTGGAATTGTTTGATTCACACATTTATGATTTGTACTCATATATATAGTTCATTATTTTTGTTCATTCATGTTTGAAAGACCCCATAAAATATCTTGTGCTGACTGTCCAACTAAATATGTGGGGCAAACGTCCAGATCACTCAAAATAAGAGTGAATGAACATAAACGCCTAACTTAAGGTCAACCAACAGGAACACAAGCCTACAAAAATCTTGAAAACATTCGTCGATAGCTGCACATGCATGGGACAAAAACCACAATATCGATTGGGACAATGTGTGTATTCTAAAAACTAACATGAACAAATGGAAAGAAAGACTTATAACAGAATCGATATTCATTAAAGTCACACCGGATACATGTAACAAGGGTGACTCAACACAACTATCAACAACTTGGAATATAATTCTGAATACAAACACATGAGTGAACGCGGAATATAACTCAAACATGAATGAACAAAAATAATGAACTATATATATGAGTACAAATCATAAATGTGTGAATCAAACAATTCCAACAGTGATGTGAACACGGGCAGTAATTTTGCTCGAAATATTACCAATAACAAAACTTATCATTGGTGTGTAAACTATTGAAATATAATTATACCTTATTTGATCTAATCCACAATGTTCAAACTTTTTACTGTTTTACAACTGTTTACCCACACACACACATACACACTGTTTAAAGTGTTTAACAAAGGTAGACCAATATTTGTAAGTCCGAGGTCAAATTTTGATCACAACTCATACAATTTTGTTTATTATACTTGTTAATACTTGTGTTTATGAATCATGATTGGACAAAGTTTTTAAAACAAAAGATGTGCCTTTATATATAAAACCTCTGTTATGTTAATTTTGATTAATTTCCCTGAAGAAGTTCGGACCAGATTGCCGAACGAAACGTTGGAATTATTATTATTATTTCCTTTAATTCCTAGAGGAACATAGGGCTTCAGCCATGCGTCTCCATTGCGTTCGGTTCTCTGCTGTAGTTTTCACCTGGCTCCAAGTCTGCCCATACGCTTTCAATTCCTCTTCACATGATCTCCTCCAGGTCACCCTTGGACGACCAACTCGTCGCTTCCCTTTCGGGTTCCACTCGAGGGCTTGTCTAGTGATGTCACTTGCTGGTTTCCTCAGAGTCTGTCCAATCCATCTCCATTTCTTCCTTCCTATTTGTTTCACGATCGGTTCCTGGTTGGTTCGCTCCCGGAGATCTTTGTTGCTGATCCTCTCCGGCCATTTGATCTTGAGTATTGCCGAACGAAACGTTGGAATTACTCATTTCAATATCGCTGAGATATTACAAATATAATTTTTTACAAATGTCTACTTCTCACTCGGCGCCCAAAATATTTTAGAACTATTCTGTCAAATCTTGACGACAGTTCATTTGAATTAAGCATATATCTACACCTTTCTTCAAAAACCCTAATGGATATCAGTTATCCTACAAGATTCTTAAATCACACTGACGATGTGATTTTAAATCTGTATGCTACAAATGCTTCTATATAAATAAATTCATTTACTTTTTGTTGCAAAATTACAAGTTCTTACTATAAAATACTTCTTTTGATTTATCTTCACTTTACTAATATTGTGTCGTACTCATTTCATTTTATCTAATCAAAAGAAGCAATGGTAAATGTAGCTGCATTTTTTGAGGTATTTCATTTAATATTCCTAGCATTTTTGTTCTAAAAACTGTAGTTACCTATTGTGTGATTTATTTAAGAGTAACTGTGGCGAAACGATGAACTATCTTTTGAAATCAGACCGACCATGGATGAATACTGAAACATATATGCAGCAGTTATGTACAAATGTAGCCATAGAAGCTCAGACTATTGCAAATAACAGCTTTCCAGTCGAATCCAGAGATCTTTTTATGGAACAAGGTATGTCACTGTGATAAATTAATACATGAAATAAATTATAATTGTATCTCGATAGTTTACACACAATGATAAGTTTTTGTTTTTTGTTAATATTCCGAGCAAAATTATTGCCCGTGATCACACCAACTTATGGAATTGTTTTGTTTTTAATTCACACATTTATAATTTGTACTCATATATATATATATATATATATATATATATATAGTTCATTTTTTTGTTCATTCATGTGTTTGTATTCAGAATTATATTCCAAGTTGTTGACAGTTGTAATGAGTCACCCTTGTTACATGTATCCGGTGTGACTTTAATGACTATAGATTGTGTTATAAGTCTTTCTTTCCATTTGTTCATAATAGTTTTCAGAATACAAACATTGTCCCAATCGATATTGTGGTTTTTGTCCCATGCATGTGCAGCTATAGACGAATTTTTTCTAAATTGTTGTAAGCTTGCATTCCTGTTGGATGACCTTAAGTTAGGCGTTTATGTTCATTCACCCTTATTTTGAGTGATCTGGACGTTTCACCCACATATCTAGTCAAACGCTCAACACGAGATATTTTGTAAATTACATTTGTATCCATCACTTTTATTGGATCTTTCACTTGATATATTTTATTTTTAATTAGATTCGTTGGTTTAAACGTGGTGCGAATCACAATATTTTTGAAGTTTCTTCGAATTGCCTCTGATGCACCATTTTTGTATGGTATTGTGATTGATTTTTGCCTTTCTCCTTTTGTGTAAGAAGAGTTTTTCAACATCGTTCCTTCTCATTATTGCTAACGTGTCGTCTACATTCTTCCACCAACATTTTATTGAGGAAGTTATAACTACGATGTTCCTGAATAGTAAATTTATCAGTAAGCTACCCTACTTTAAGTGGTTTCACAATGTATAGACAAAACCAATGCAGCTCAAAGAAGAAGAGAGGTGGTGGTGTTGCCACTTTTATTAATTCTCAGTGGTCTACTGCCAACAACGTCTGCTTCAAATTCTCAAGTGGCAATATTGATTGTATAACTGTTAAATGTCGACCTAAACACCTATCTAAGTATACCTTCATTTTTGTCACAAATATCTGTCACACCTTCCTGCAGTCCCTCAGAACTATCGATCTTTGCTGATGAATTCACTATTTTTGCTGCTGCTTCGTTTGGTAACTCCTTGTCTGTAGTGACTGGTGACTTCAACTCTAGTGACTACAGTTTTATTACATTGCTGGGCCATGAAAATGTTGTTAACTTCCCAACTTGACAAGATACTTCACTTGATTTAGTATTTATAAATGATTCTGGAATATACGAAGCTCGTAAAAGAGCTCCGCTCTTCAATTTCGATCACTGTATCGTACGAGTTTTACCCAAAATTTGCGGAAAGTTACACAGCAGAGCCTTCTCAAACTTGTCCAAGAAAGTTGTTCACAGATGTTACTCAAATGAGAACGTACATCATCTTAGAAACATGCTCAGTGACACAAGATGGGATCTGTTTAATGATGATTCACTTGATGACACTATCTCTAATATTACATTTTATCTGAAATTCTGTTTTGAAATCTGCTGTCCAAAAGAAACACTATTCGTCAAATTTGACCGTTTCTCCTCCCCTCAACTTAAAAAGCCTCGTAGAGAGAAGGAAAAACTATATAAAATGAAAGATAAAAGTGGTGTAAAAAGAACTAACTTCTTAATCAAGTCTGAAATGCAGAGGTTGAATGTAATATATAACCAGAAATTCATATCCTGCAAAAATGCTTCTAATATGTTGAAACTATTTAAGGAAATCACTGGTGGTAAGCAGATAAACAATATTCCGTATTCTTTTGATGTATGTACTCTTAATAAATCTTTTATTTACTCTCCCTCAAATGCCATGCTTCCCAGCATCACTATTGTTAATAATAGCCCCTTTCCAGGTTTTAACACGAATGATGTTCAAAAGTGCCTCAAGTCTCTGAACCCTTCCCAGAGCTTAGGTCCAGATTATGTACCTAGTATTTTTTTTAAATGTTCTGATATTCTGTGTCACCCTCTCACTGATCTATTTAACCAATCTTTTTCCAGTAATATTGTGCCTGCCGTTTGGAAGGACATTAAAGTTGTACCTATACCTAAATCATCTACTGGAGCATATGTCAAATTTAGACCCATTGCTATTACCTCTCCTTTTTTGAAAACTATGGAGAAATTACTTTTACTTAGTCTTGTACCTTCGCTTAAATCCTCTAATGACCCTCAACAATTTGCCTATAAGCACAGTAGATGCAGCTGTCGTCTTATATCATAACATTGCTTCCAGTCTAGACAAGGGGGCTAAATTTGTTCGTTGCGCCTTCCTAGACTATACATCTGCTTTTGACTTGGTCCCTAGGGACATCTTATTAAATAAACTTGCTGCAAGTCAAACAGAATGTTGGGCTGTTAACTGGTTACATTCCTATTTCTCAGAAAGAAAGCAGTACACCGTGTATAAAGGGAAGTCTTCCACTTCATTGCCTCCTGAAGCTGGTGTCCCTCAAGGCGCTGTCCTTTCTCCTTTTCTTTTTTCTTTCTTCTTACATGACTTGCCTCACTCTGATGAAATAAACTTTGTGAAATATGCTGATGATTTAACAGTTTCAATGGCTGTTAGCTCCCAGCTAGATTGTACCAAAATAAATAGCTTTCTGTCAGGAGTCAGTAAATGGTCTGAGTCTAATCGTCTTAAACTGAATCCTTCTAAATGTCAAACTGTTAATTTCAGCTTAAGATGTAAAAGACAGTTAAAAGAAGCCGTCGATTTTCATGACAGTTGTAAGATTGACGACAATGATATAGGAATTAAATCAGAAATTAAGTATCTTGGACTTATTCTCTCTTCTGATTTCTCCTGGTCTTCCCATTTTACATTAAGAAGCTAAGGCTCTCGGGTATAACTCAACCCCTCCTCTTACAGTTCATAAACTCTTACATCCTACCTATTCTTCTTTATTGTTCACCCTTATTCTCTCCTGGTTTGCTTAAAAAGGACCATGTCACCATTCATAGAATGCTGAAGATGGTCAGTAGGATGAGTGGTGTCCCAGTGGACCATATAGTTAACGTCGTTGTTGGTAGGCACTTGACCTCGTGCAATAAATTTGCTAGAGGGGTTTTGTCTGACTTGGAGCATCCACTTTACCCTCAGCTGTCACCTTGAATCTCCTCAGTTAGAACAAGAAGTAACTTCAGAAAACTGTATGCTCGCATGTCTAAGTATAAAAATTCTATGATACCATACTTGGCACGTATTTTATGTGATGAAAATAGTGTCAGGCAAGAATTAACTAACCTTTTTTCATCCAGTAAATAAACAATTTCCTCCATCCATCCTTATATACCTTCAAGCTTTACTTTTATTATTTCTATTATATTTATGGTCCTGTTGCTCCTTTGTTTTACTGTCATAATTGCAAACACAAACTTATCTCTATGACTGCTGTAATCTTTGTTTTTCCCCTCACCATATCATGTAAAGAGAACATTATATTCAATATTTTTTAAACATGCTAGGATTTCTATACCGAATCGACAATACTGTGTGAAACAAGCCCACGGCAATTTTCACTTGTATTATTATTATTACCTTAGCTGTTATAACTACTGTTATTTCCATTTTATATGCTGCATGTTTTTGAAATTCCCCCTATTCTAATTGTGGAACATTTTCTGTGTGACTAATTTTTATTTATAATCTGAGGAAATTAGATGCAATATTGTGATTAATGCTGAAAATTCCATTCTGTATCACTAGTACTGTTTTTGGAAAAAAGTAAATCATTGTTATTATTATTACTGACAAATTTTCTTTCATGAAGAGTTATTGAAATGAGCATTTTCTGATCCACACCAGGAGTTGATTTTATCTCAGAAATGACTGTAATGTGTAAACTGAAAGAACTCTTAACAGCTGTGTGTCATAATCTGTTTTTGAGTGAAACGATTGGTGCAGATATCGAATCAGTGGATCTCAATGTAACATCTTGTGTTCTTAATGCAACCTTAGGGGATGAAGTTTACGCGAAGTGCACTGCATACTCTTACAGTATTTGTTCTGCACAGACAAAAGGCAAATCAATACACTAGATTGACTGTTCAAAGTACGAGAGATGCTTCCTCAAAATCGTAGTCTAAGGATGATTGTTTAGTTAGCAGGTCACTGTGTACCAACGAACAAACTTAACACGACAGTATACCGAAGTGGCGTAAATGAGTGACCGCGCGCCTTCAGACTAACGTGATGAATGCTGTGCGTTAATAATTTTTGAGAATTATATCCCGCTACGCAAATACTAACGAACAAAATCCCTATTTTTATAACTACTTCCAAAGAAGCGTTTTAGATCTGTACTTTACACTAATGTACACTTTCGAAAGCATCAGTTTACTGTTCATGAGTCTTTCAATATTTATTGCAAATTCTTTGTCAATTGTGAACTAAGTAACTGGAGAAATGAAAATGATAAACAGGACAAATATGCAATATTAGAAGAAGAGATGCACATTTACCTGAAAAATTTTACAATAATGGAAAACGAAATTAAAATAATTAAATTTCGTAAACCATAGAAGGTAGGAAAAAACCTAAAATAAACAGTGGAGAAAGACCTATCTGTGAGCACGTTAATTACACTAAGATTATAAAAAATAGTGGGACCTGTTGAAATGTCAAGGTAAAATGAATGGTTACGTGAATTTATTGTAAGAGTAGGATTTGAAGACTGTTTTAGAATACGCTTCCATAGTGGATAAGTTTAGGTGATATAACACCCAGTGATACAGTGTTAACAGTTGTGTGATGTTTTGAGCACAATTTAGGACATGGTTGTGTGAAATAAATTCTACTGGGAACGTCATCCAATGGAAGGGGCTTTTACTCAGTGAGTTATTTAATTTTTAAGGGCATAGAATTGCTACCACGTTCTCCTGCATATACTCAGTTTCATCATCATATATAACCCTTTCGCTGATAAAGTATTCAGAAAATAAATACTATCGTTCTACTCTTCTTATATGATGAAGCTAAATGATAGAATAAACTAACTGGTTGTTTATTTTTGTCTACACTTTTAAGAGTGTTTTTCTCACCTCGACATTTACATCGTTTGGTTACGAATAACAAGTTTACATTTTGACCACTAAGTAATCTTGTATCCTAAAGTATTATTGTTCATGCATCCTGTTCGTTGTCTACACACCTAACATTTTCTGCAAACTTTTGAGTTCATATTCGTTTACAAATAAAAACGACATTACTTGTAAACCACTTTACTTTTTGCCTACAAAGATAATTAATTTAATTGTTTATTTTAAATATCTGAGACATATCAACAGAACAGTTCATTGAGACAGTGTCAAGAATTAGCTGATCTCATTTCAGCATAAAAACCACTAGAAACGAAGGAGCATAAAACAGCTGCGTTTTTTTAAGTTCTGACCATTTCGGTAGTGCTAATCACCGTTTAAAGTGTTTGGAACACACATTATTCATATTACCTCGTCATCTACTAGTGAAAGGCGTTTTATCCTAGACTGGTCAAGATGAAACATGGCTCAGATCTAGGAAGTGTCTTACTTTAGATATCACCAAAATACGCTATTTGAAGGAGATATCATAAGACAATAGATCTGATAACAGAAATCTTGAAGCAACATAGCCACATAGGTAGACTTGTGTTTTAAATGTCATGCATAACTATATTCTCCTGTTCATTTTTTAATTTTGTTTACTTATTGTAATGTAGACTTGTGCAATCGCTAACATTGTTTTCACTCGTTTTGTCCACTGCAAGCCTATATGAAACCTGGTCGTTTTGACTGATATACAATTACTATCAGTTATACACTGCTTACATTTGTCTGTTAGAACAAATTTTAAAATTTTCATACAAAAATAGATTAGTTGCTGACAGCAAAACATCAGTGACATGCATTGCAGAAATCACATGAAGTAAACGCCATATAAATCTATCAGTATGTTGGAGAGTCCTGCTATGACTACTAAGCAGTCTTTTGAAACGATTGAATAAAACTAAACTGACCTTTATAAGTCGTAGTATGAATAAAAAGCACACACCAACCGAACTAATAAATTAAGTAATACCGAAAAATCAAAGCAGTCTGATGTTCTCCAGGCTTGGTAAGATTTTCACCAATAAATCCATCAGTGATGATGAAATAACTACGATGAGATATCAACGCTCAGAAAGCACAAGGCATTTTTCCTCCTTATCCTGAGCTTCAAATCTCCTCTATAAATTCACTGAAGGATTATGTTTGACTAGGATGACTCTTAAAGAAGAATACACGGCACGTCGTGTTACTGGAAAGAATCACTTGATTGCCAGTGCACTGAAAAGTATTAGGTATTGAGTATGTCATGTCTAGGATTTTATATACTGCATTAACTGTAAAGTTAATGCAAGTTTAAACACTAAAACTCCCAAAGGCAATTATGAAATTTCTCTTTAAATATTCTGTTGATTTTGATCTTTTTTGCAGTTGGATTCTGTGGTATAGCTGGATTTTGGCAAATCTGTAGAATGGATTGGCTCAATAAAATTATTGCATGGCAAGAGGTCAATGGCTGTTATCATAAGTTTAATAAAGAATTAATAAATCCAAGAAATTTTGGTCCTAATGAATATGGACACTACAAACGAAGGAAACGTTCTGAAGAAATTCTATCCAATGGTAGTGAAGCTTGTTTATCACACAGAACAAGTGTAGCATTGACGGCATTGGGAAGTTATCTAAGATATTTGGTTGAATTCTATTAGATAACTAAAAGCTTTTGTGATCTATTTTTCTTTTGTTGTCGAGTTTTATTTTCAAAGATGAAAATTTATTCTGAAAAAATAGTAATTATAACATCTTTATATTGTTTTTGTTATATTGTGGACATCTGATTGTAGACACAAACTCTGAAATGACTGATTGTTAAAGTCAGTGTTGAAGATACAGGCTAATAACTTCTCGAACTAATTAACCTCCTTTGCTTCATGCTACAAACTCCACCTCTACTCGTATTTCGATCGTACTACATGTCATAATTGCTGCACAGGTGATCGACTGGAATTTTATACAGTTCTTCACCCTTTAGCCACAATTTATTTGAGCAGTTCTTTCAACAGTACACCTTATATTTACTAACCAACTAAACATCTTATTAGTACCATTTCCGAAACTTGCGAAATTCGCTTCTTTGGTTGTTGTGTGTCAGCCGAGGTTTTTTATCAGAGCTGTTACAACCTCGCAAGTAAATAAAGTAGTCAGTATACTCAAGGAACTGATTATCTGTTGTAACATTATTAGTGCGAATTCAGTGTTCAAGTGAAAACTTTGTTTAGGTACTCACATATCCTTAATTAAAACGTACAAAATGTTGCGCATGTAGGCAGTATTTTCATATTATGAGGGAATTTAATTTGAATAATCAAAGCCGTGTATCAAGTTCATCCATTTTTAAATTGATAGATAGCAGAATAATCAGCAAAACGGCTTCTTTGATAATAACAATAATAATAAAAGTAATAATAAGAGAAAAAATTGACAAATCGTGAGTAGTTATGATATAATCCTTAGTTTCATACTACTGTATGATATAAGTAGTGATTCGAAACCGACATGTGTTGTAAACTAAATAAGGTAAAATAATGTCTGTACTTCCAAAGAATATATAATTAAGTGTTCGTTTTTAACAATAATGTATGTCGAAATTTTTTAAAGCAAAGAAGACTGAATTAAATTAACTGAGCCTAATCAGTTCCTTTCGATCAACTAATTTACAATAATCCGCCACAACAATTAATGTAAGCAAGTGATTGACTACGAAAGTCGCCAGATGTTATAGAGTAATATGAACAATGCAACTTTAACATAAGTCTATGTTATTTGATCTAAGTTTCTGCAGATTACCTCACCTATTGGAAACTGCTCCAACACTATGGCGTGTAGTGCCCAAGTCTTTATCAACCTCATTCAACAGCCGGCTATATGACGATGTGTCAGGCGATCCACAACGAGCATTTCAGCGAGGAGTTTGAAGTGAATACAGGAGTAAGACAAGGATGCCTATTATCACCGATGATATTTTTCAAATGTGGTGGACTGGATTATGCGTCAGACTGTGCACAGTGAGTGAGAAGACAAAAATACGTTACAGTGACTGATAAGAAAAATCTAGAAGATCTGGATTTCGTGCGTGGAAAACTTATGTTTAGTGTCGTACAAACTAGAGGACTTGCAGGCAAAAACCAACAGAGTGACTGAAGAAGCAAGCAGCAAAGACAGGACTGGAGGTGAACATAGAGAAGATGGACGTGATAACGATAACCAACGAACCGCAACAACAACAACCAGCACCAATCACCATCAACGGAAGGGACTTAACAGAGGTTAGCAGAGGTTACCTCCTTCACTTATCTAGGAAGCACAGTTTCAACTACAGACAGTTGGCACGGATGAAGGTGTCAAAGTCAGCCGGAACCGGGAGAGCAAGATACGCCTTCATCAGCCTGAAACCAGACAACATAAAGAACAAGACTCAGACTTTCAGAACAAATTTGAAGTCAGTCAGTTCGTGCTTCTATATGGGCCAGAAACTTGCACTACGTGTCACAAAAACATTTCCAACAGGCAGTTGAAGACTTTTATCATCAGCAGAAGTGGCCGACCAGAAGGAATTAGCAGCAATGCCACTCTGAACCCAAGGAAATAACAATGATTCTCCACCTGAATCAGTTAATCAGATTACAGGGATTCTACTTTGTTAGTTGTCATTAATACATTTCACACAATTAAATGACAAAAGCCCTAGGACTAAACAAATCCTTTTATTTGATGGACACTGACAAGCAGTGGAATCTAAGATGCGGTTTCCGTCCTATTTAGGACTCACCACCTGGATTTACCTGCAAACCTCAAAGACTGAAGATATTTTCGGTGAAACTGGAAGCTTAAATCTATAGTTACAAACCCCAAAGCATTAATCACTCGGACGATTAGACCACCTCCTTGGTGGGTACTGGATGTCAGCGAGAGGGTCATCACTGTCTAGGGACTGCAGACACATCTGGCTGATAATTCTGAAGTAAGGTGAAATGCTCATCATGGATTTGATCGCTAATCACTAGTTACCAAATAACATCGTTTTATTCCTCAGACGTCGTCAAAAACGTCCGTATTAAGAGGCAACATGTTAACGGAGACTGAATGTTTTAGTTCAATAAATTTAATGAATGGAAAATACAAATCTGAATTACACAACTGTATTAATCCCTTCTACTTGTTGTAAGTCGGTAGTTCAATAGTAGAGTGCTCCTCAACTATGTGTGATGTCTGGGTTCGATTTTCGGCAGCCATACTCCTAGATCTCACCTAGTTTACTCACCAAAAGTAAGCCCAGAAGATAGGAAAGGCGTGAGGCTAACAACCCCACCCCGTAAAACCAACACCACTACTAGGACTTCCAAGCTTGATGTCCTATGTTCTAATTGGAACACAAAAGAATGAAGTAATGAAGAAAATAAAAGACAGATTCAGCGAAGAAAAGAAACTTTTATTTTTATTTTATTTTCTTCATGACTCAATGAGAATGAAGTAACTTTTCTGCATAGTGGAAGTTTTACCTTGCTTTGAGTAAATCAGCAGGTGCTAAAATAAAGCGCTCCACTGGAGAATTATACGGAGTAACAAAGTGAAGCAAAGAACGAACTTCCAGGCGTTTACAGTTCTTCCGTGGTTTTAAACCTTAAGATCATGTTCTAGTAAGCAGTTCATTCGATAAGGAAAACATAATTGACCTTAATTGTCACCGGAATCATAGTGCTCGCGTGACGTTACTCTTTATCAAAAGAGATGACAATAAAAATAAATCTAGTTAATCCAGGCTCTCTCCAAGTTAGAGGTTTGAGAATTCCTCGATCAGTTTAGTTCCTACTGTCTGAATGCCTTATAGTATGCCTGAGTTGTATTCGAAACATTCTTTTGCTACGTGAACCCAATATTCCAGATAAGGTCTAATACAGGATGGATATAATATTTGAAAGATATCACTATCAAAACTTAACAAGGCAGGAATAAAAATGGCATTCAAACCCACAAACTCAATTAGAAACAAGCTTTGTCGGTTAAAGGATCCTGTAGAGCCTGTAAAACAAATCAATTTAGTTTATTTCATACCCTGCAATGATTGTCAGGTCAAATACATAGGTCAAACTGGTAGAACAGGGGCAGTCAGACTAGCTGAACACAAAAACCTAGCAAAATCTAGATTGGTTGACCCGAATAAGGTAAGAAATCTAAAGAATAGTTAAGCTATAGCACTACATGCAGTCACACACAACCATACAATAGTCTGGATGGGATAGGATGACAGTTTTAAAATCTAATGTCACAGGGTATAGGGAGAGATTGATAACAGAAGCTTTGTTTATCGAATCAACTGCAAATACATGTAATAGGAATGATTCAACACCTGTCCCCGATATATGGAAAATTCTACTACCCAAACGACAAATAGTAGAGAACAAAGAAAATTATAAAACTCAAGTGTCAAAGTCGTGTGATTACAATTGATATGATTATGAACAATAAATTTTGTTCGAAACGTCATCCAGTAAATAATACTGTTTCACTGTGTGATATATCTAATAAACAAACCAATATGGAAAAACTTAAAAAGGCTTTGTGGAGAGCCCATAATATCCTAAAGCACTCCCCGGTAACTGCCCTACGATCTGCTGAATTTTCCAGGCCATGTTTTACAACTGTTCCTAATAGCAACATGCACAACTACATACCTGCTTGTACTAATTTCCTGAAACCAATGGTCACACCATTCAAACAATAGGTTCATATATCCCTGCATAGCAAATCGAGTGTCACCACTGTCTACAGCTGTCCAGAGCTTGATACGGTCGACTAACATAATACCGGATGAATTAATTATTGACAGTATTTCGTTTACAGGCAGTAGGAAGGGTGTCTGGTTTTGTACGCTGCGGCATGCAAGTCTTCACCGGCTGCAGTGAGGACAGTACATAAACAACTCATACATTTCTTATCCATAAGATATTCCTGAATACAGTTTCTTACCATTTTATGGATTCCAAAACTCCCTAAGTTTACCATAAAATCATAATGGGAAACCTCATAGAAAGCCTTGTTAAAGTTGACGAATATAGCCTTCTCTGACACAGCATTAATGGCGTCAGCCTAAACCTTTATGGACTTGTGAAGGCAACGTTTTAGTCCCTTAATAACTTGATGACGTTCAAACGAGCCTGAAGTTTAACCCGGATGAAATCAAAAGTCTTAGTTTTGAAAGACAGCGTTCAATTGTAACTGAGAAAGATGAATTACGTGACTACCATTGTCATATACGTCACGAATTAACATCACTTAAAGCAGAAGGGAGTCTCAAAGGGAGCTAAAACGTTTGTCATCTGTGACATGTCGAGTAAAGTCATTCTTCATGGCACTTGGGAGTAATCTCCTGTCAAACCATCCGCAAATATTCAGAAATACCCCGACAACTCTTACGACAACTGACTCTATTGCTCTAAGGCATCTCATCAATATTTGAGGTAATCCAGTAATATCCGCAGTGTTTTGACAGCGACCACTCATCAATACACCTGGATCGCTAAACTTATTTATAATACTACTAATATTAATCTTCACATCTTTTTTAAAGTTCAGTATTAGTTTCTAAGACCTGACCATCTGAGAACCCACAAGTCCCAGAATATTCTCCTCACTTCTATGCCTAAATCCT